CATGCCACTGTCTGGCCCTATTTGAAAATATTTTGTAGGCTGGATAATGTTATAAAATGGCATAATTTATTTCTCTATTTTTAGACACTTAAGTTTTCTTGGTTTGCTAATGCCTTTTACTTTTGTTTCTGTTTCATCATGAAAGCTTTTGCACTCATTTTATTTATGCACTCAGCTGCATTTATCTTTATCTTGGATATTTTCTCCTTCACATTTATGGTTATAAATATCTTCCCAATTTCTATCATAACCTAGAAAACAGGTAAATATGCAGTTTAGTAAAAAAAATAAACTCAATGTTTCATTATTGTTTTGGGGTAGATTTAAAAAAAAATCAAGCTATGTAAACAATTTTCTACTCACTTAAAAAATAATGATAGCGAATATTGTTGAATGGATTTTTAGCATCTAGTAAGATATTCTACTAGGTAATATTGAATAATTTGTAGGCAGAACTAGCAAAATTTTTAAATGAAGCAACAATCACAGAATTGAAATATATTTTCTACATATAATTTTAAAAGCAATATTTTAGATAGACTTCCATTTACTGTAACATTTATCTTTTTAAAAAACTGAAAAAGACGAGAAGAGTTAATAGCTATAGAAATTGTACAAAGAAGTGAAACTCTTAAAAACCTTTTTACCAAAATAAAAGTTAATTTAGTATTGGGATCAGCAGTCGATATAATGGCTATGTCACTGGACTCCCATGTAGTGGACTGCGGTTTGAATCTTGGACCTGGTGACTTAAACTCACGCTGGGTGCATGTGCATGCGTGCTCAAGATCCCGAGAGGAGAATGGAGAAGGGATTGCAGTGTGGCCATCCCCCCGGGGGGTGATTTCTCACTTTCTGTCTGTCTCTCTGACTGTCTTTCCGGCGAGCATATGTGCCCTATAACAAAAACTTCTCCAAAAAAAAAAAGTTAATTTGGTATATATTCTTCCAGAGTAGTGTTCTATGAAGTAAGTAAGAATTATTCATTTAATGGAACAAAATATATACATGTAGATGTTTACTGTTGTATTGCTGTATTACAACGAAAAGAAACAGAGGGTTGGCTAGAGTAGTTATTGCATCTTATTATAATACAGTCCCCAAAGGAATTAGGACTTTATGAAGATACCTAGAAAGATATATACAATGTATCATTATATAAAAAAAGGGAAGATCGGTCTTTTAAAAAATGATCTATTGCTATGACAAGAGATTTTCCCATTTTGAACCATCAGTGCATTCCTGAGAGAACCATCTTCTTGGTGGTGTAAACAATTCTTTTAAAATAGCGAAGAATTTAAATTGTTCATTTTTCGATAGGATTTTCACTTGATAATTCATTAGTGAGCTAAATTCTTAGTTTTGGGTACCCTAGCTTTGCTATAGTTTCATAACCTTCACATGAACAGAGTAATTTAGTCTTGTTTACCTCTATTTTGGGACATTTTATCCAACATGAAATGATCTGCATCGTGAAACCGATTTTTTTTTTAGAGAGTTTTTTTTTTTTTTTTTACTTAAGAGAGATGCTATAGGGCAAATGCACTAGCTGGAGAGACAGAGAGAAAGAAAGGGAAAAATCACCATCCGGGGAAATTGTCACCCTGCAATCCCCTCTCCTCCAGTCTCTTCTCAGGATCTTGGGCATGCATGCATATGCATCTGGTATGAGTTTTAAGCCACCAGGTCTGTGACTCGAATTGAGATGACTATGTGGGAGTCCAGCAACGTAAGCATTATGCAATCTGCTGGCCCCTTGAAATCAAGTCTTAATTAATTGATAAAAAGATAAAACCATTTAGTCCTGGAATCCTGTTTTTTTTTTTTTTTTTGGAGAAGTTTTTGCTATAGGGCACGTGCATTCGCCAGAAAGACAGAGACAGCGACAGAAAGTGAGAAGTCACTCTCCAGGGGGGATGGCCACGCTGTAATCCCTTCTCCTCCATTCTCCTCTTGGGATCTTGGGCACACAAGCACACATGCCGGTGTGCGTTTCAGCCAATGGGTCTGGGGCTGGAACCGTGGTCGACTACATGGGAGTCCAGCAACATAGCCATTACGCCAAGTGCTGGCCTCGAGTCCTGGAATAGTTTTGGTACAAAGTTTAATATGTACATATAAAATAAACAGATGTAAATAAGTAATTTGTTGCAATCATCTTGTTAAAATCGTCAATATTCCTATTTATTTTTAGTTTCTTTGGCAGTGTTATATTAAAATAGTTAAAATACCTATATAATTTGTTTTTGTCAATTTCTCCTTGAATTTTCAAAATAGTTTTTGCTTTATGGAATCTTTGCATGCACAAACCACACAATGATTGAATCTTTTTTTTTCTTTTTTAGAGGTGTTTGCTATAGGGCACATGTGCTCGCCAGAAAGACAGAGAGACAGAGAGATAGAAAGTGAGAAATCACCCCCTAGGGGGGACGGCCACGCCACAATCCCTTCTCCTCCATTCTTCTCTTGGGATCTTGGGCACACACGCGAGCCCAGCATGAGTTTTCAGCCCCTGGGTCCAGGACCTGAACCGCGGTCAACTACGTGGGAGTTCAGCGACATAGCCATTACGCTAACTGCTAGTCCCAATGATTGAATCTTAAATGTGCATAATTAGATAAAAGTAAACTCAGTCTGGAATATCTGATTTACGTAAGGGCATTATATAACATGAGAATGGCCATGTAACAAATTCTTTTATTTTTTTGTCCAAAAAAGTAGAGGACAGACAGCAACTCTGCTTATACTTCATGGTTAAAACTCTTGGAGTCTCAAAGAAGCATATAAATGTATTAGGATTCCTTTTCCTATTTTGATCATTGAAATTGTTACAGTTGTTATTTATTGTAATTTGGATCTAACTTCAGTCCATTATGTGTCTTTTCAAAGCACATGTCCTTTGTCACTGTGGACTCTCCAGCATTTGGAGGACCCTGAGAGTAACATCTTTTTTTTTCTAGAGGTTTGTGCCCTAGGGCATGTGTGTTCGCCAGAAAGACAGAGAGACAGACAGAAAGCAAGAAATCATCCCCCTGGGGAGATGGTCACACCGCAATCCCTTCTCCTCTATTCTCTTGGGATCTTGGGCTTGCATGCACACGTGCCTGGCGTGAGTTTAAGCCACTGGGTCCAGGACTCCAACCGCAGTAGAATACATGGGAGTCCAGCGACATAGCCATTATGCTAACTAATGGTCCTGGGAGGAAGGACTGACTCTACCCTGAACAAGATGAACTGTACTGTCCCAGGACAAGGCAGTGGAAGTGTGTCCTCCACACCCGAGACCAAGGTGAGGGGCTCCAGCCCTGCTCTGCTGTCCTTCACTCTTCTTCCCTCTTAGAAAGAGGACCTAGTTGAAGAGAGATGTCTAAAGAGTATTCCCTTTCAGAAGAGTTCCTCATAGGTGAAACCACTTGACCAAAATAGAGAAACAGTTCACAGGCCTTCAAACACACTGGCAGATGGCTTTCCATGAAGAGTAGTACATTTCTAGATTCTTTTGCTTGTGGGGGGCCATTAGTGTCAAGGAAGGTATGAACTAAGGAAGCTTTTCCCATACCCAGTGTACTTGTGCCATTCCTCTCCTGAATGAATCCTCTGGTGCTAGGTAAACTGTAATTTCTGAACAACATATTTTCCACCCTGAGAACACTGGTTAGGTCTCTTTCTTGGACTCTTCTTATTATGAGGCCTTATCTTGAGAAGCTCTTCCAGGTTGAAGTTCTTAAATTTTCTTCCTATACAGGGGTTCAGATGATCTACAATCCTGGTGGGGGGAGGGAGACTTCCCAAACATTTATAGTTGTTTAAAACAGAACCATAGACAGCATTCCCACCCAAACTAATGATGAATGGAGACAGTCTCCATTTTTTTTTTTTTTAAAGAATCTCCATTTTCTCTCCTGATAACTAAACCAGTATTACAGTAAAATCCCTTTCCTCCCCTTTTCCCTGGAATCCTGCGATCCCTTCACCTGTGGCTCTTCCCTGTGTTCCAGTGGGGGAAGTGTCAGTCAGGCTTTGCTGCTGGGCATCCTGACCCCAGGACAGACAGGAAGCATGGTAGTTTGGGTCACTGGTTTTTCTTGAGTTCAGGCTGATTTCTGCTACAGATAGCTGTAGAGAGTGGCTAGATTAGGCAAAACCTAGTGACCTTTAAAGCAGATATGGTCTTGGTGCTATCCCTGGAGGACAAGTGAAAGTTCTGATAAGGACAAGATCTGTACTACAGGGCTGTGTAAACTGAAGGAAACTGTCAGCCAGAGAAGGCCAGGAGAGACTTGTCTAGAATCATGGGCTGCAAGATGCTCCACAACTGCAATTGATAATAGAAAAAACCTGGCTTTGCTGTATAAAGGAAGAAATCTGAGAACAAATCAATGCTGCCGCATTCTCCATCAGAGGCGCTAGGGTTGCAGAACTGGCTTTCCTCTACTTATGCATCTGTATCTTTGACTTTTCTAAATCCACCACCACTCCCACTCAGGGTCCCCCCCAGCCCCAACACTGCCGCCCTCCCGCGCCCACCCACAGTGTATTGGGAAAGATAGTCACTCTATTTCCCTCTCATTGGGACTATTTCATCTAGAGCCCCATCTAGGCCATGTGGGAGTGTCCAACATCTTAACTACCATGCCACCTGCTGGTCCTTAGTGTTAATATTTTTATCATGAGAACCTTTTATAATCCACCAATGTCTACAGAAAGACTTAGTTTAGTAAAAATGAAGATTTCATTAAAGGGTATGAATATATAATAATTTTTGTCACCAGTTTACCTTGACAATTTAGGTGCTCCTCCATTTAGGATGTAGCTACATTCCAGTCAACGCGTCATAAATCCAAAAATGGGCTTACTTATCATTATGTCAAAAAATGCATTTAATATCCCAATAAACTCATTGTAAGGTTAGAAAATCTCAGTTTAAACCATGTTAAGTCAGAGTTGTAATGTAGGATGAAGATGTTTCCATATATTACTGATATTGCATCTGGTCTTACCTGAGCCATTTTTCAGATACCCATTTGCATCCACAGTTGTATACATGATATAAGGTCCAGGCTGATTCACTCCAAAGGGCTACAATAAAAGAAGGAATAGTTAAATTTTGGAAAGTAAGTGGACGATTTAAAGTTTCAGGTAAATCTGTTACTTTAATAATGTAAAAAATTCTTACATACATTTCTTACACAGATGATAGCTACTTAGAGTATACTTCCTTAAATAGCTAATGAAAACCTTATTAACAGAAAATTCTTATTATTTAGATAATTTGATAGTTGCATTTATATGGTTCATTATTCTATTACTTTTTTTTTTTCTTTTTTCAGTTTTTGCTACAGGGCATGTGTACTTGCCAGAGAAAGAAAGAGAGAGAGGGAAAGTGAGATGTCACTCCCCAGGCGGGATGGCCGTGCTGCACTCCCTCCTCCTCCATTCTCTCAGGATTTTGAGCAACCATGGTTTGAATCCCAGACCCGAGAGGCTTAGAAAACATCTGGGTACATGTCCCTTTGTGTCCCAATCCCAGCAAGATGGAGAAGTGGAGGAGAAGGGACTACAGCATGGCCATGCCCCTTTGGGGGTGCTTTCTTCCTTTCCTTCTCTCCATCTTTCTTTCTGGTGAGCACACATGGCCTCTGGTAATTACTGGGAGTGGGGGGTGGGGGGAAATGTGTGGCAGACCAGCTAGAAAGGATATGCAGTTTGTAAGCTACTAACAGTGCAACCACAAAGTTCCTGAGTAAGGGTCTATACTTCTAGATACCCACCTCAGCCCTTCACCTTACCAATAGAAAGAAAGAGAGAGAGGGAAAGTGAGATGTCACTCCCCAGGCGGGATGGCCGTGCTGCACTCCCTCCTCCTCCAGTCTCCTTTCAGGATCTCGAGTGTGCACATACATGTGCCTGATGTTATCTTCAAGGTGCCGGTTCCGGGATTCTGATGACAAAATCAGCCATGTGGGATCCAGCACGTTAACCTCCACACTACTTGTTAGCCCCTCAACTATTTCTAATTCTTAATCCTGTCTCTTCTTTATAAGGTGAAATTTCACACAAAGTTTCTTTACTAGTTTTGATTCTTCGTAGAATACAAATAGAACAACTTTGTTATGATATTTCTGTGGAATCTAGAACAGAAGCTTTTCCTTTTCGAGAAGGATTTGGTATGGTTTACATGTATTTGAAAAATATGGTTACTTTTTCATAAAATATACGCTATGTTATTGCAATGGGTTAGAATTTTTAAACAACAAATTATTGAAAACATTTAAAATTATTTCAGTTCTAATTTCTTTTTAAGGGCAAACAAACTGGTTGCCTATCAATTAGCTAGGCATGTAAGTGAAGTGTAGTATCTCATTGGAATGTTTGTGAGAGAACTTCCTTAGAGGTAGAGGCAAGTGGAATATACCACAACATATAGATAATTCAGCATTAGATAATCTTTATTAAAAATTATAAGCAAGGGTGGTGTAGTGGTTAAGGTGATGGACTCCCACATAGTCGACTGTAGTTTAAATCCCAGACCTGGCAACTTGGAAATCACATTAAATGCATATGCATGCATGCCCAAGACCCCTGGGGGAGAAGGGATTGTGACATGGTCAACCCCAACCCCTGGGCAATAATTTTTCACTTTCTCTCTCACTGTTTCTCTATCTCTCTCCAGTGAGAACATGCACCCTATGGCAATAACCTTAAAAAAATTACAGGTAAATATTGATTTGCAAGTGACTTTAGTTCAAATAAAAAAAAATTCTATAGCTTATGTGGTGTCATAAAAGATAGGGAAAAAATTAGAATTTTTAAAAAACAGTTAAAAAATGTTTGGAGGAGGGACTAGCAGTTAGCGTAATGGCTATGTCGCTGGACTCCCATGTAGTCAACCACAGTCTGAGTACTGGACCCGGTGGCTTAAACTCATGCTGAGCGTGTGTGCATGCGTGCCCAAGATCCCGAGAGGAGAAGGGATTGTGGTGTGACCATCCCCACTGGGGGGTGATTTCTTGGTTTCTGTCTCTCTGTCTCTCTGTCTTTCTGGCGAGTGCATACACCCTATAGCAAAAACCTCTCCCCAAAAAAAGAAAAAAAAATGTTCCTAGGAAACAGTTCAGAAAAGCAACTATGTGATTAAAAGGATAATTTAATTCCTTAGTATGAGGAATTTAGGTGTGTTAGTCAGAGCACATCGGAAATCAAAGAGAGATGAGAATAATTTTTACTTTCTATTGCAGTTACGCTTCTACTGGCTACTTTTTTTTTTTTTTCCTGTAAAGGGCAAAACAGACATGTAAATATTTCAAGAGTAGTGAGCCATAGGTCTTGTGTTACAACTACTTAACCCTGATTATAGTATGGAAGTAACCATGCACAATACGTAAATGAATGAACACGGCTATGTCCCAACAACATTTTATTCACAAAAACAGGTGGCAAGCTGGATTTGATCCATGGGTTGTAGTTTTCTAACTCTTCTATCCAACAGAAGAAGCAACCAGGCAAGCACTTTGTCTGACAGATTTATTACTTTAACATAAATTTTAAATGCAATGATAAATTTTAATATTTAGAAGTATGAGCTGGCTCCATGGCCTAATGATTAAGAGAGTGAGATCTCACATGGATGACCATGCAGTTTGAATCCTGGCCCTGGTAGCTTAAAAAAAAAAATGTCAGGCATGTGCGCATGGATGCCCAACATCTCAACAGAATGGAGAAATGGAGAAGAAGGGATTGCCCATGCCCCACTGGGGATGCTTTCTCCCTCTTCTCTCTTTCTTTGTCTTTTCTCATTGGAGGGTGCATTCTTTCTTTCCCTCTCTATCTCTGATGAGAGCAGGCTCCTTCTAGCAAAAAAATCCAAAAAAACAAAAAACAAAACCCCCAAAAACAAAACCAAAACGCCCAAAGAACTGTACTGTGTTTTATATTTTGCATACACTTCACCTTGTGACTATACTCAGATTAAACAACAGCACCCATACGGTTATAATAAAACAGTAGTGGGACCAGCAGTTAGCGTAATGGCTATGTTGCTGGACTCCCATGTAGTCGATTGTGGTTCAAGTCCCAGACCCAGTGGCTTAAACTCCCGCGGGCGCGTGTGTGTGCATGCCCAAGATGCTGAGAGGAGAATAGAGGAGAAGGGATTGCGGCATGGCCAACCCCCCAGGCGGGGATTTCTCGCTTTCTGTCTCTCTGTCTGTCTCTGTCTTTCTGGTGAGTGCATGCACCCTATAGCAAAAACCTCTCAATAAAACCCAGTAGCTTAAAACTATAGATAAATTTTAAATTGCACATTTTTAATAATGGATACGAAAACACAGTTACTATAAGGCATGAATGGTAAACATTTTAGATTAACCCAAGAAGTGTAAGCACCTGTTAAAACAAAACCTGAAGAGTAATTTTCTAAATGCCAGGCAAAATTAAGGTTGGCAGTCTGAGTCAGTGCTGTAAATTGTGTATGGAACAGTTGGGCAATGAAAGGTTGAGAAGGTCACAATCAGGCACAGTAGGAGCAGTAAAACTATGCCAGGAAGCCAATAGTTTCACAGTGTTACTGTGATTAGACTGTATCCAGGGACTGATTGACAGTTCTTGGCTGTATGCACCAAGGCGCTGCTCCAATGAGCAATTCATAGACAGCACCCAGGACTAAAGGAGAGACAAAAGTCCTAATAGGAATAAAATAACCTTAAAGAATGCACGGATGTTTTTTCTTACCACTGTAGCTTACATAGGGGAGGGTCATGTTAAAATAGTTATGGATGACCCACTTGCCCAGGTCTGAAATGTATACAGATCTTAGTTGTCTAAATGCAAACAGTTGTTTAAGGAAATCAAGACAGACTGGAGTTTCTATAAAATGACCTTGCTTTCTCTATTAATTTTCCTTAATAAAATAGAAATACATATTCATGGAAAATATTCAGTAAATTGACTTAATAAACTTTGGTAAGGAAAGATTATAGAGTAGCTATTTCTATGGAATGCTGAGCAAAGAACAGCAATATCTAGCAAGTTTACTCTGTGGGAAAATTTTAGTACAAATGTCTCACAGGTTACTCTACACTTATTTATTTTTTAAAGAATTATTTATTGGGGGACCAGCAGTTAGCGTAATGGCTATGTCACTGGACTCCCACGTAGTCAACCGTGGTTTGCGTCCCAGACCCGGTGACTTAAAACTCATGCCGGGTGCGTGTGCGTGCGTGCCCAGGAACCCGAGAAGAGAATGGACGAGAGGGGATTGCGGCGTGGCCATCCCCCCTGGTGGGTGATTTCTTGCTTTCTGTCTCTCTGTCTCTCTCTGTCTGGCGAGCGTACGCGCCCTATAACAAAAACCTTTCCAAAAAAAAAACAAAAAAGAGATTTATTTAATTTTATTATCATTATTCTTCAATTTGACCAGATAAATACAGAGAGAGAGAGAGAGGAAGAGTGAAAAATCAAGCTTCCAGGTCTGGGACTCAAACTGTGGACAGCCATGTGGGAATATAGTGCTTTAACCATCATGCCACCTGCTGGGCCCTCAATTTTTCTTCCTCCTTTTTTTTTTTTTTTAAGAATTATTTAATTAATTTAACCAGAGAGAGAGAGAGAGAGAAAGGGAAAGTGGGAAAGCAAGCCACCAGGTCTGGTACTCCAACTGCGGTTAGCCATATAGGAGTTCAGCACCTTACCCACCAAGCCACCTGCCGGCCCCTCTACCCTTCCTTTTCAATGTCATGTCTGATAGACTTCAGAGAGGTTAATTTTTAAAAAATATTAGTGATCTATCTATTTTTTTCTACTGTAAGTATAAAAGGACTATCAGTGGCTCCCTTTTCTTATTGAAGGATGTGTCCTACTAATGTAATGTAGTTTACCAGTTGTATTATTATACAGACTCTTTTTGACTAACCTGCCCTCTGCCCACTGACTGACATCAAACTGGGACTGGAATATTTCTGGCTTTTTTTTTTTTTTTTTTAGATATTATTTTCATCTCAGTAGCTTGGCCAAATCTTGGTGGTTTCTATATTAAGGTCTATTACCTGATTATCTAAGGATTTGTTCAAAGTCTTAGGCTC